CCAGGTAGCAAGAAGATGATTCTTGGCTTGGATTGAGTCAAATGTGAGGAAATTATTCCTCATCTATAAGGGTGACCCTTGACACCAAGTGGGGTTCTAACTTGCACCTGTGGGACAGCTGGGCACTTTTCTGGTTTTAGTACCCTCATGCTTATATTTTCCACTGTGGCCATCTGAGCCCTATTGGAACAGGACCTTCCAGGGCCATTCTCTGTTATCCCTGGCACATTCCCAGCACAGCTCCAAGCATGGGGTCCTTTGGGAAATATAAAATGGAAAGCTGCTGGAGTCTTTTGGAAACAGCACACAGTGCTCCAGAGAAAATGCATCTCTAACTCATGGAAAGTGACAAAATAAGGTAGCCTTTGAAGGAGCCCCGTTCCTAGGCTCTGAGACCACCCAAGCAGCCGGGGCATGTGCTTAAACCACAGTCAGTCATGAACTTTAAAATCAATCTGTTTGGGTTCATAGTAGGCACTTAGTAAATGATAATTTCTTTAGTTAGGTTTCAAACCAACTGCTGTGTACTTGGGGCATATCTGTGGAACAACTGATTAAAAATAGGAGGCTGTCTCTGTGGTCAGCTCCTTTTTATATCTCCTTTCCAGCCCTTTTCTCACCCTACAGTGTGCCTTCCCGAGCTTCAGGGGGAGGGAAGTAGTGGAGGCCTCCAGTCTTAGGAGGACTTGCTAACCTTTACCGTGACCTGGAATGAACTTGACCATTTTCCATTTAGATTACCAAGGGCAATGTCCAGTCTGTATGATGAATCTTGAGAATTGCCTACCTCTAGTGAACACAAGCTTCTACTCTCTAAAGGAGATTTGTGATGTATTCTGAGGGGTTTCAGCTGGTGACTAGATGTTTGGCCTCTGCTATAGGATTTCATATTTTCAACTCTTAGCTCTTGACGATTAATTTGATCCTTCTGGAAACCATCCCTCATTTATTGGAAACCAGAACTTTTGGGTACCAGAGTTTACCTAGAATTCCAGTGACAATGACTAATACCATAACTGTTTTCAAGGAGGATCTGGAGGTCTGGATTCCAAGGAAAATGCTTGCAAAACCTGAATTAACCTGGGATCTATAATCCCTCTGTGTCTCTCCATGGTACAAGACTAGACCATTCTGAATGCAGGATGGCCACATAATCAGATGCCAGGGAGTGTAGGACTATTAGAGCTCCAAGGGCTTCTACTACAAAGCCAGCCAGACCTCCTGGCAGCCAGAAAGCTCCACAGTGTTGGACACAGGCAGGCTTTGCTGAAATGTGAGAAGGACCAGTTAGAGAAAAACAGAAAGAAGAGCTGAAGTTGCAGTTAGTTGAGACTGTACATATGGATAAACACTCATCCTTACACTTAGTTCTGTTCCTTTCCAAAAAGGGTTGGAAACAGCTTCAAAAGTAAATACAGAGCACATTGATCCTTTAAAAATTACTTCAAAACTCCTTCAAAGGAGAAAAAAGTCGAAGGGACCAGGTAACTAAAGTGATCTAGTTACTTGAATTGTCCCGAAACTAAGAAAAAAAACACAACTGTGTTGATGGGTTACAACATCGTCCAGTAAGATAACAAGAAACAGAGGGTTGTTGGGGGAAAAAATCTGGAATGTACTTTCTCTTGGCACTGGATATGAAATTTGTCCTTGTTGAAAGGGTAGTGGGTACCAAAGAAGGCTATTTCCTTCTTATGAAATATGAAAAAAAAATCACTCCAGAAAATAATTTTCTGTATTGGTTCTCTGCAAAAGTGGGTGCTTAACATCTGGACTTATTCCTGAGCAGACCTCTCTTTGAGAGGTTTCCATGACCTGGCTTTGTTACATTGCTTCCCAGTGACCTCAGTTCATATTCAAGCCAGAGCTTAGAAAACACAGAGAAATACAGAGCTGGGGTCCCTGCCTGGCGTTTCCCCTCTTAAATCTCTGTTGAAAACAGCCCCCATCTGCGCATGAGCGGCAGGCTCCCTTCTATACTGTGGGCTCTGACTGGGTCTGGAAGGCTGACTTGCTGTGTCACTAAGGCAGAAGTGTCCTTGGACATGAGGAAGTCACTGGGTATGAGACTGCAATATTTAGGGCGTGATTTTATCTGAATGATTGTAATTTCTGAAATTCTTGCAGTTGTAGAGCTTACTTAAATATAATATTTTAGATTGAAATTGGTTTTTGGCACAACATTCTATAGTTGAGTGTTGTTAGAGTTTCCTTTATAGATTATATTTGAAAAATAATGAAGGACAAAGAACTTAAAAACCAACCATAAGAAGCTATAAATTCCCCTAAGATGCTGATCTTTCATGAAAATCACTCATATTCCCCCCAGGCACTACCACTAGCAGTGTGGGAGCTAAAATTCAAGTACTCCTCCCCATTTCTGCTCCTTCAGTTCTGCTCTCCAGAGAACATCACTGTTGACCAACTGGGAAGCTGAGAATCTGCAATGTACATGATGATAGCTTCAGCTCCACCACTGAGTAGTACCAACATGGTCCTGGGGCTTCTTGGTAAAGCACAGCCCAAGAAGGGCAGTTATGGAGACCACACAGATCAGACCCCAGTAAATACACATTGATCCTTTAAAAATTATTTCAAAACTCCTTCAAAAGGGAAGGCAACTACTCATATGTTTTGCTTCTCCATCATTTTGTCATTTAGAAAATGTCACTAGTACCAGAATGAGCTCCTGGGAATAACAAATGCCCCAGGAGTTAGGAGCTTCTCACATTATTGGCTCAGTGAGCACTACTCAGCAAAGCTCAGTGATCTACAGAGAACTCCTCCTGGGACATGATCAGAACTTGGTTTTGGGCCCCCTCCCATGTTACACTTTGCCTTTCTTATTTCTAAGATCCATGCCTCCTCTTCATTCTATCTTAGCCATAATGTCAGACCAATTTCTAGGCAGAAGCTTAGCTTAAGCCTCATTCTCTGCACCAAGGCTGGTCCCTGTGTTCTTCCAGCTCCACCAAGTCTTGCTGCTTCTATAGGGATAGTGTGGACAGTGTGAAAATCCAGAACTATGAGGGGAGCAAGTCTGGTCCAAGGTTTCTCTTGACCTCCCTACCCTAAATCCTACTTGCATGGATAGAGAAGCCATGCATTAGCTTTTTATTATTTTAACATCTCTCTCAGGAATCTTCAAGCTAAGATCAACAATGGATAACTTTAGGTTACTCTGGTGAACTGAACTGGAAGTATTCTTTCTCCTGAAATGCCTTAACTCTTCTGAATGGTTGAGGAACTTTTAACTGCCATAGTTATTCAGAAATCAGCACTTGGTAGATGTACAAGCATCTGTTTATTGCTTCACTTTAGCTGTATGATTGTTTTTGTTTTTATTTTAAAATAATTATAGGTTCTCAGGAAGTTGCACAATGACCCCATGCATTCTTCATTTAATTCCCCCCCATGGTTACATCTTAGATAACGATAGTACAATTTCAGAACCAGAGAAATAACATTGATATGTGTGCATAATTCATTGTCATTTTATCATGTGTAGATTTATTTAACCACCACCTCTACCAACATACACAATTTTTAAAAAGTCACTAGAAAGACATCTCTTAGGCTGCCGCTTCTTGGTCACCCTCACCCTTTATTAGCCCTGAGCCATCATCATCCCTAACCTCTGCCATCTACTCATCTGTTTTGCTTCTGCATCATTTTGTCATGTAGAAAATGTTCTGTAAATGGAATCATAGGATGTGTGACCTTTGGAGATAGGTCTTTTTTACTCAGAATAATGCCATTGAGACACATCCAAGTTGTTGCATATGTCAACAGTATGTTCTTCTTTTATTGATGAGTAGTATAACAGATATGGACATACCAGAGTTCACTTAGCCATTTGCTTATCCAGGGATATTTACAGAGACATAATTTTATTTTATTTTATTTTTTTTTTTCCCCCTCCTCTCTGCTGGTCGGAGAGTGCTGACTTTGTGGGCGGGGGAGGGGAGCAGGGTTCTGCGCTTTCCTCCCTTCTGGTCCTCTTTTATGGCAACTTTCTTCTTCGGGCAGTTTGCTGGCGTCACCCGTTTATCTTCCGTGTCCCAGTTCTCACTGGGACCTGCCGCTTTTCCTCCCTATTAACTTTTTTTAATGGGAGATCTTACTCGCAGCGCAGAGACATAATTTTACTTGATATTTACATTTGCTGTAATTATTAATGTAAATAATTATTTACATAGAATGTAAGTCTGTATGTTATTGTTTGTTATCTTTCTTGTCTCAATTTCTCTGTTTTCTTTTTCCTGTTTATCTGTGCACTGCTAAAAAATTTGCTAAAATGTGTAGGATTTCAGAATATATTTCTTTTTTTTTAAAGATTTATTTATTTATACAAGAACCAGGGTACAGGCCAGATGCGCGGGAGGGTGAGAGGATTCACCAGAGACAGAGTGGGAAACAGAACAGGCAGACTGATGAAATATATTGCTGAGGGGAGCAGCAGGCGAGACAGGAGCGGTCTGCATCACCATGTGGGATTCTTGCTGGCCAGCCAGGATCGAACTTGCACTGCAGAGGCTGAGGACAGCTTCACAGTATGGCGCTGAACCGCCTACACCACCAGGGAGGGCCTCAGAATATTTTCTTTGAGTTTTTTGTATAAATTTTATTTACAAGATTTATTTATTTATCCATACAAGAACTGGGGTACAGGCCAGAGGTGTGGAGGGTGAGAGGATTCACCAGAGACAGAGTGGGGAGCAGAACAGGCAGATAAACTGAAATACACTGCTGAGGGGAGCAGCAGGTGAGCCAGGAGAGGTCTGCCATGCCATATGGGTAGCTCTCTGGCCAGGGATTGAATTCGTGCTGCAGTGACGAAGGACAGCCTCATAGGTTGTGTCTTAAACCCTCGCACCACCAGGGAGGCCCTTGTATAAATTTTAATTGCTTAAGGTGTTGTATTTTACATCTGTAACATCACAGGTACTAATGTTGAGATTTTACCAGTTTGAGTGAAATGTAAAGACCATAAGTTTTTTAAGATTTAAAGTCTTCTTTTAAACTTTTAATTGTATATAACATATATCATTTTCTAAAATATTCCCTCTATATACATTAAAAAATAAAATGAGCATTTCCCAAAGTCATCTTCATACATATATCACCTTTAAGTTAAAGAGAGACAAAGTGTATTTAAGAAGGGAGTCAGTGACTCGGCTAGCACCAAAACAACATGGGCTTCCAGAATGTTCTCCTTGCTACTCTCTTTCTTCTCCTAACTGAAGGCTTTTCTTCTTCAGAGTTGTTTATTCTTGTTAGCTGATTGTCTTCAAATTTTTGCCTTTTAGCTACCCTAGGGCGGTAACTGACGAGCGTACAGGCGAACGTATCCTGGGAATGGAGACACAAAAGACTGAGGCAATTACTCCAGGTCATGGACACAGCAAGGACAGGGGTCAAACAAGGACACTTAGGTCATGCCAGGTTTTCAGAGAGGGTCATGACTGGGCTAGTATGAACAGGGCTTTTGTTCTATTTGAGGAAAGTGATACCCCGTGGTTTTCCTACCAAGTGTTTTAGGCTTAATACAACTTCCAGGAAGTAAAGGTAATTATGATATTTTAGGTTATGAAGGAACATCAATATCAAACTTATTCTTTGACAGAAAAAGAAATAAAATGTACAAGTTGACTCCTATCTGCTCCCTCTCTCAAGTTCTTGCTTTACCATACAGTTTCCAGGCTAACAAGGTGTATAATACAACTGTATTCTGTGGCAAACCAGAGTCCCCTGCCTATTTGTCTCTTGATTCTGGTGAAGTTAAATGCACTTAAGACCCCTTCTAAGTCTGTAAGACTGAAGGCATAATAAAGATGCAAAAACAAAAATAGAAAACAAATGTCACCTTGCATGCCAACTGCTCAGCTGGCAGTGAATCTGAGAGACTGGACTGGGGAGGGATTTTGAGGACATGGCCAGGAGCAGTGAAGAATGTGCTGTGATGGAGAGAGTGGATCAGCGGGGCACATCTATGGCCTCTGTTTTTCTTAATTCCTGTTCTCTGACCATCCTTTTGAATGACTATGAAAGGAATGTTAATTCTAAAGAAGCTGTGTCTTAAGACTGAGGAATGAAAGTGAGCAGTATCCAAATAACTAGCATGCACCCTTTGTTTGGATCCCATCCCCCTGCATGGATTCTGTACTTCTTGAGCCTGGGATGAAGTAGTTAAAATAGCAGGAAGGCTGCCTTAGATATTCTCAAGCCCCAACACACTATCAGTCGCTCCTGAGCCTGAAGCATGACATCTCATCAAGTCCTTCGCAGGTGCAACTGCTCTGCTTATCTTGAGAAAGACTTCTAGTAAATAATTTTGGACAATAAATGAAGGGAAAAGTTTAAGTAATATGTAAGGCTGGCAAGGATGCAGTGAGACAGATTCTCTAATATATTGCAGGCGGATACATAAATGTGTGTAAACTTTTTATAAGCTACTTGACAGCTTAAATCAAAAATTATTTTTAAAAAATACCTGTTCCACAGTATTTATACAATGATGCAATGCTATGGAAATAATGCAAACTATTAAAAAAAACTTAATCATAAAGCTTTCATCACAAAACAATTTCTACTAGGAAAATACTGGAAACAACTTAAATGTCCACTAGTAACTTATAGTTACATAAATCCATATTTAACTATCTTACAGATGTTTTAAATTATGGTTATTAAGAACTTGTAGCAACTTGGATTTCAAAGCAGGATAAAAATGTCATGAAAGCTACATAAAAATTTTTAACTACATAAAAATATACAGAGAAAAATAACAAAGGAAATCTATCGATATTATAATTGTTTACACTGTAGAATGGTGGATTTTTCAACTATTATATTTGAAATCATGTCATGGTTTTGTGACTTATATACTGGAAACCATATGAAAAAGAAAACTGAAAAGGGAAATTTTAAACTATATCTTCAGAAATTTTGAAATATGATAGAATTGTCACAGCTAAGCATTGCAAAGAAAAATAAGCAGTGAAGAGTGAAGAAATGAAGTGTCTTGTCTGCTATGTCTTGTGATGTGAAAAAAATAAGTTATTCCCACTGAGTTAATACATGGCTCTTGTTGCTTTCCCACTGACCACTATACAACTTGATCCTTTTCTTCTAGGCAGTGTGAAGGTATGAGTGAGTGATACAGAGATCAGAGAAAATTCTCATCTATTGGGAGAATTGACTCTGTCATGGTCTTTTCTGACAAAGTATCTAGTCTGACTAGGGACACATTCCAAAGTAGGATTTCAGCTTTGAGATGCACCAGTTTCTAGTTCTATTTACTCCTTCCTTTGTGTACTGTCTGCTCTAGATACACATCAGACCTTGGAGTTAGCACCAGTATTATTCCTGCCATACAAGTGAAGGAACCGTAGCTAAAGAGGCCCAGAGAGATGACAGTAAGCAGCAGAGCTGCTCTGGACTTACATTCCAGAATCTTTGGCTTTTGTCAATGCCAAGCCAGCTCTACACCTCTCTGCTCTGATTTCCTAACTTTCTCAGACAATAATGCTCTGCCTTGTCTTTTCTCAGCTGGTCTTTCCTACAGGTTGCATAGGGCAAGTCAACCTTTCCCCCACAGGGCACAGTGCCTGCACCTAACACAGCACCTAGTAAGTTATTTATTTATTAACTGCATCAACCCATATCTGCATCCATTCTTGTACTCCCATGAAGGCCTGGCAAAGCACTGGACATTATAAGATGGGTGTGCAACTTCACTCACAGCCAGTGAGAGCTTGCAGGTTTAATCTAGAAAGTACCTAGAACAAATTATGCAACCTTAGATAAAAGATAAGGTTTAATTATCCTTAAGGACCTGAAAGGGATTGGTTCTAGGACTCACTTCCTCTCCACCCTCAAATAGCAGTATCTGAGAATGCTCAAGTTCCTTATATAAAATAATTAAGAGTATTTATATATAACCTAGGCACATCCTCCCATATAGTTTAAATAATCTCTAGATTACTTACAATACCTAATGCAATGTAAGTGCTATGAGAACAGCTGTTATACTGTATTGCTTAGGGAATAAATAACAAGGAAAAGGTCTGTACATGTTCAGTACAGATGCAAGCATCATAGGCCTAACTACATAGTAAGTATTTTCTTCTGAGGTTGGTTGTATACATGAATGTGGAACCCTCAAATACTGAGGGACTCAAAGTTCAGCTTTGAGTCCAAGAGGTTACCTGTTAATACTCAGTGATTTTATCTGCCCATTTCTGTGGCCCAATTTTGTTCCCTTCCCAAGATCAAATGCCCCTCTTCCTTCTGACTTTGGAAGCCCTGGCCCAAAGCATTTCCTTAGAACGAGCTTCATGTTGGTGAGCTGGTGGCTGGCCCTGAAACCTGTGCTAATGAGACCCAAGTGTGCTGGCAGCATTAGCTGTAGGGAGGAGAGTACTGAGGCAGAAGTGAAATTTGCTTGAATGTGTGGCTCTGCATATGCAGAGCAGAAAGAAAATTGCAGAATGGCAGGAAACTAAACACCCTCAGTCAACAAAATCACAAGCCGAGGAAGTAGAGAGAGGTATTTTATGTGCCTGACTGGAAGAACTATTGCAGTAATGGGAATTTTTCAACTTCTTGTGGATGTAGCCCACTGCCATCATCCCTCCCTTCCTGCTTTAGGGTCAGGGTCCCAGGTCACCTCCATTCTTCCTGAGATTCCTTGGCCGTGGAGTTGGGTGAGGTCAAATTGGAAAAGAGGGCTTTTCTCGGTGTCACTGCGGCCATGTTCTTGATTTTGTTCAGCCTTTCCCGGGATTGTTGGCATTTTCTCAGACAAGGTCCACACAGATCCTTTTCCTCCACCAGATATAAGTTCTCTAACCTCTTGATGGAATCTAAGAACTCAGTTGACTCCTCTTCCTTGGGAAAGGGGTTTCGCTTTACATTGAGCTTTTTCAGCTTGGGGAGCTTGGAGATGCTATTTGGGATGCTGCTCAGCAGGTTGTCAAAAAGGCCCACCTCATGGAGCTCCTTCAAAGCGCCCAGTGTGGTTGGCACACTTTCCAGATGGTTCAAGCCAAAGTTCACAGTGCGGATATTCTTGAGTTGATTGAGCTCCACTGGCAGCCCGTTGGTGGTCAGCCTGTTGTTGCTGACATTGAGGTAGAGCAGAGAGGTCATCTGGCCAATGGACTCGGGAAGCTTGTCTATGTAGTTGCTGTGCAGGTCCAGCCAACGCAGGTTCTGGAACTTGGATATTGCATCAGGGAGTTTCCTGATCAAATTCCGGCTAAGATCAAGTTCATCCACATCGTTGAGTCTCAGAATACACTTGGGGAAGGTGGTGATTCCCATCTTGCTCAAGTCAAGACGTTTTTTCCCATCAAATGTGACTTTGATACAATTCTTGGCCACTTTGAGGGTGATCTTCTTGCCCTTGGGGCCTTTCCCGCCCTTGCCCATGTTCTTTTAGTATATTTGGGAGGATGTTTGAGGTATGTTGTACTGATTGGATGGTGATACGTTAGAGAAAAAAAGTCACAAGAAACTGCTAGAAGATATACTCTGATAAAGAGGAGAAAAAAATACCTAGTTAGGAGGTGACAGGAGATTGTTGCACCACCACTCCCTCCACCCCCATATCATAATGCTCTTCTTTCTAATGGTATAAAAACAGAGAAAGGATATTAGGGCATTGACAGAACTAACCCAACTAAACATCTTCAGCAAATTGAATGTCCTTGTCAGACCTCATTGCTCTCAGATATGAAATGAGAGGTGCAGGGTTGGCCTGAGGATGCACAGCACCCCTCTGACTGTGTTGTCCCCTAACCTGAATCTCTCTATTGTCCTGGGCTTTCACATATGCCCTCCCCCATCCCCACCCAAGTCTGCCACTTTCCAGACCCTCACATAAATCCAGTGTTTCCTTAGAGTTATCTAGCACACAAGCTCCTAGTCTGAGACTATTGACCTCTCAGAAGCAACATAAGCCTAGATAGGAGGTCATAGATGTGGAGTTAAGAATGATTTATGCTGTTTATTGCTCTTCGCTTTCTGGACCCAGAGGGGCTGCTACAATTACCACAGCAGGAGCAGAGGCAGCACCCTCCACCAGCCCCAGTGGGAGGGAGCGCCTCCAGGAGCATGAGGGGCCAGGACTGGGCCTGAAACAGCTTAAAAAACAATGCTGCTTATTTCTGTCTCCTCCCCTGCTCTTCCTCTGCTCACACCTCTCTCACTGAAAGTCATGGCAGATAACTCCAGCACTGAGGGCCCCACCATAGCACTAAGCAGTCCTTGTATCTGGGCTCAGTGGGCAGGCATCTACAACTATGAATAAATCATTAAAAAATAAACAAACAAACAAACAAACAAAAACATAAATAAATAAATAAATAAAACTCTGAAGAGGAGCTAGACCATTGTCTGTGACCCAATTTTGGTCCCAAGATCCTGGCAGTTACTTTTTTTCTGCCCTACAGCCACTTAGCCTAGAGGCAGAATCACTGGCAGAAAGTACACAGTAGATCAAGGAGACAATATCCTTGAGTTTCTAGCTAGAAAACCAATTGATCTAAAGATTAATATGATTCCTAACAAAATTTCAGCAAAATTATTTGTGTATATGAATAAAAATCTAAAATTTATAGTAAAAAGAAAAGGAACAAGAAATCCAAAGCAATATTGAAAAGGCAGAAGTTTAAGAACTGTTGCTTTCCAGTTTGAAAGTTATGTAGTTATAACCTGTGGCAAGGTGAATGGACAGATATATAAATCAACAGGATAGAAATAGAATCCTTAAATAGATCCCCACAAATACGGCTAATCTGGTCATTTGTCATTTTTTTTTAACCTAAGTTCAAAGGAAATTCAATGGGAAACAACTGTTAGAACTCATGTACCGAAAACAATGAATCTTGACTTAAGAAATAACTCAAATTAACTCAAAATGAAAAGCATAGATATGAATGAAAAAGATAAAACTATAAAACTTTTAAAGGAAAAGATCTGAATGACTTTAGTTAGACAAAAGTACAATTCATGAAAGAAAATATTGAGCCGTTGTACTTAAATAAAATTAAAAATGTTTGCTGTGGACAAAACAAAAGGGAATGAAAAAGCAAGGTATAGACTGGGAGAAATATTTGCAAATCACATATCCGAGAAGAGACTGGTGGCCAAAATCTAATAAAGAACTCAAAGTTAGCAACAAAACACAAAAATAAAACATGTCCAAAAGTTTTAAGAAGACATTTTACAATAGAAGCAAACAAAACAACAGAAAGTTACTCAACATCATTAGTCCCTAGGGAAATGCACATTAAAATCACAATCAGATATTACTACACAGTTATTAAAATGTTTAAAATAAAAAACAAAATGAAAAGTGAAAACTGATTTGTTAAAGATGTGCTCCTATATTGCTGTTGGGAATTCAAGTGGTACAGTCACTCTGAAAGAGTTTGGTAATTTTGTAAAAAATTAGCCATATGACCCAGTATCACCCCAAGCCATTTGACCCGTCATATGACCCAATATTTCCCCAAGAAAAATGAAAACTTTCATTTACACAAAAACTTGATCACATGTGCTTGGAGCTGTTCTATTCATAATTTCCAAAAACCAGAAAGAAAACAAACTAATGTCCTTTAGTGGGTGGATAAATAAAGAAGTTGTAACATCCTTACAACGAAAGACTATTAAAAATGAAGAGGACAGTTATATGGAGATATGCAACAAGTTGGATGAATCTCAAAAGCATTTTGCTGAATTAAAGACGCCAATCTCAACAAACCTAAGGAATCTCAAACATAAGAAAATAATTCCATGTATATGATATTCTGGAAAAGTCATAACGGTAGGTATAGAAAGCAAATGAGTGAGTGCCAGGGGTTAGGGGTAGGAAGGTTTGACTTCAGGGAACAGCAGGAGTGATCTGGGGAGCAGGACCTGCCTGTATCCTGACTGGTAATGGTTACATGAAACTGTATCAGAAAAGTATACACACAAAATGCTATTTTACTATGGGTAAATTTTTAATTTAAAAATACTAGAGACTTCATATTCTATTTCCGTTATTATCACCATGGTTGTTTTTGCTCAGTGTGCCCTAAAAGGCTGTGACTTTTTGGTGTCCTGACTCAACACTGTTCTGCTCCAGAAGGGCATGTAAATGTGATGTACAGTGTGCATGTTTACATGTGTGTGCACATGTTCACAATGCAGGATGCACAAGGTAGCTTGTTAAAAAACCTGCTCTCCTGCACTTGAGTTAAAAATCTCAAAGACACCAGAGGAGGGTCCTACATGGCGCGCAGACCTCTCCTGCCACCCGCTGCTCCCCTCAGCAGTGTACGTCGGTCCTTCTGCCTGCTCTGTTCCCCGCTCTGGCTCGGTGAATTCTCTCACCTTCCCGCGCTTCTGACTGTACCCAGTGCTTGTATAAATAAATTAATTAATTAAAAAAATATCTCAAAGACAAGATGGACTGAGATGGAGAGTAGCCTGTGTTCTGGTCTTTATCAGTGACTTCTCCTGGTAATGTTGCCACTTGTAGCAAATAAAATTACAAGATGCCCAACATGCGCTTCATATAAACAATGATAGTGTTGAGGATACGTATGTCCCAAACACTGCAAAATATAGTATTTCCTTGTCAGCTCAATCCCATGGGATGGAGCAAAGAGTAAAGTCTCCTTTATTAGTCCTTTGGGACTAATTTAAGCCATGTGTATGTGCTTAATCCTGCATTCATTCATTTGCTCACTCTTTGAGTAAGTGTATTGAGAGCCTAATATGTCCCAAGCCTCCGGACTACCCTGGTGAGCAAGAAACAGCACCAGTTCTCTAGCTTATGGAGCTAAAATCTAAAGTGTAATGGATTTGGCCACTAGGCTCCCCCTGAGCACACAGAAGCCTCAGCTGTCTTTCCTATTTCTTTTATTTAAGATAAAGCTCAGTTTAGAGCGCCCACATATACTACTCATGGGTTAGAGGGCCTCTGAATGGGAAGGGATGCTTCCAGTAGACTGGAAATACAGCCAGCTGGGCCCAGCTGAGTCCCCCCCAGCCCCCACAGCCCACTCACACCTGATAAGAAGACCTCCCAGCTCTGATGAATGATGGGGAGGGAGCAGCATGGCGCCGTCTACAGAGAACTTCTCCATTAAGGAGCAGCTCGTCAACAAACCCATCAACCCTGAGTCTGCTCATTAATCACCTGCAAGGGCTGGCTGGGATAATGCCCTTCCTTCATCTTCTCCTCAGAAGTCACCAGGCAACCTGAGGCCAGTTGGCACATGATCAGCCCCCACCCCTTTATGCTTCTCCTCAAGGCCACTGTGCTATCTGATTGGGACGCTGACTCTTGGGGGACTCTTGACTTGGCTGGCTGTCGAAACCCTCTTTCCTATGGGCAAAAGGGCATGTTGTGCTGTGTTGCTCAGGGTTAATCCAGATACCCTAAACTGCTGACACCACAAGAAGCTGCCCTGGCCTGCCCAGTGAATAGGAGCATAAATGTTAGCAAAAGAAGGATGAAACTGATGATCTATGATACAACTAAAACTGGTTAGATGGCCTGTTCGTATCAATTCATGGAATCCTCAAGTATTGAGGAGAATCAACCCACCCAAGGGAGCTGACAATTACAGAGGGAGATATGTAGAAAGACAGATAGATTCATCAATAGATAATATATGGGAAAATAGATGATTAATAGATAGATGATAGGCAGACAAATGGATGTATAGATGTAGAATAGATTTCATGTGAACAGTTTAGAGGCTGAAATGTACTGTCTTGTCTTCCGTAATCGGTTTCTATGCTTTGGAAAAACTGGACCAGTTGGTTCGACTTTAATTTCTAATTAATTTTTCTATCTAGTCATTGTGAATAAAGCAGCATGGTGGGACACCCCATGGATAGCAAAATTAAAAATGTAATGGCAACCTATATTTTAATGCCATCACAATATTTGCAAACATTTTCAGTTGTAAGATTGTTATCCCCACTATGATAATTGAATTTATCTGGTGCTTCACAACCATGTATCTTTAACTATAATTTTAAGTAAAACTGACTTTGTATATATCCAATATCTCTAAACATTTTGCCAATGTGATCTCACACTAATTATTTCACTCTTTTGATTGATGCATTGAGATTCAGGACAGAGACATTCCAGAACTGAAATTCCGAAAGTCACCACCATTTCACAATCAGAATTTGGGATTAAATTCACAGATAAGTTTCATGCCATAAGGATGAGAAATATCTTTTGCTCATAGATGGCTCTTTAGGGAAAGTCTGTAAACTTCCCTCAACAAAGTCACTAATTCAAAAGTCATTGCATGTATTTGCCCTCCCAACCCTCAGGAGACTCATTAGGCTTGGAACAGAACAGCCTCACCTCTGCTGTGACCTCACATCTCCCATGCCCTCCACCCTGTCGTAGAACATGCTGTACCTTCACATGAGAAGCCATGTGGAGACACAGGTGGTCACTGTGGGCCATCTGTGGAGGGACCAGCCCCCTAAAATAGGCACTAATGTTTGAATCAGGTGTAGTTTGCACTGGAAGAAATGCTCCTCGTCATGTCCACTCTGGACCAGGAATTGCATGCTTTGCTACTTGTTTCACAGTGTTATCTGCTTTGGGGAGTATAGACTAATGGGGAGGGGTAGAATCATGAAGTGCTTTTATTTTTCTACTATTGCCCCCAGCTGTGTTGTGTTGAGCCCCTCTTTCTTGCGGCAGAAGGACAGATTGCTAGGAAAGGGGAGACTAGAGGCAGAAAAACTTGTGGTGTTTAGAGCAATAGCTCCACCAAACACTTGGCAGAGTTGGTGAGGATGGGCAGGAGAGAGATGTAGACAGCAGGAGTGCAGTCTTACAGGGACCTCAAGATTTGGGGGCATGTGGCTGACATCAGTTCTGGAGCTGCTGCATGTCCAGACCCACTCACATTCATTCATCAAAGTAATTCATACAAACATGCTGCTCGGCCTTTCATGTATCTCTAATCTCCAGAGAAACTTAGCAAAGTGGCAATCTTATTGTTAAAATAAGACAATTGAGGCTCAGAGAAGTGAATTGACTTCCCCAAGGTCACAGAGACGTCACAGAGACATCACAGAGCACAACATAATTATAACTTTGATGTATCGATGTTCTTTTTATTAAACTATGCTGCACCCCTCCCCATGCCTTGGCTCCAGAAGTAGGAAACGCCTCATTCTTGGGGCACATGGCCCCCACTGATTCCAAGGAGCGTAAGGTATTCTGAAATCCTAGCACTCCCTGGGTGAAAGCCACCTCTGCAACAGAAAATTAGGGCCATTTCCCCCTGTGACCTCAAAAAGGTATGTTGCCTTTTTGGCCACCGAGGGGCTCGCTGACATTAGAACTGAGGAGTGTCACAAGGTCCTCAGTCTCTGGGTGACCAGCCTGGCTCAGGTCCATTCTATTGGGTATGGGTTCCCCAGGGAGCTTCACTGATGCTCACCCATGGGCGGCGTAAGGGAATGGTGCATTCCTGCTCAAGTGGCTGGCCAACGCAATGGAGAATGAGGGGCTGGAGATGCAATTGTTGGCCGTAGTTCCCGCAGGAGTCAGGAATGTAAATCTCCCACCAACCTTTTGGAGGGACAACACACAACCAGGGTGTCAGAAGAAAGGATCTCTGTTTGGCCCACCCACACTCCAGGGATCAATATGTAGGGTGCTTGTTTTCATAGACGTACACATACTTATTTTTATATATGTATGTATATATCCATATATATACAAGTAGTGTGGATTTTAAACACTTTTCAGTAGCATTAATGGAATTATTTAACTAAGAGTTTGGAGATTGGCAGTGTGTGTGTTAGAGACAGACAGACTTAAAGGGTACAAATGCTATCAGCCAGTTCACCTAGTGGGCGTGCGCCCCCAAGTGGCCGAGATGGAGACAGGACTCTGACCCTCAGCCCCTCCTGTTCAAATTGGCCCTTCATGCTGTGAACTTCCTACCTCAGTGAGGGACAGGAGATCCAGGTTTGGGCTGGTTTTTTTTTTTTTTTTTTTTTTTTTTAAGAGATCCAGGTTTTTTCTCCAGCATGTCCCTGGAACATTAACGTCCTGTATCCTGGGTGTTCATTAGAGAAGGGACCAACCAGCCCCTCTTCTGCTCTGGGAGACGGTCCTGAGGCTACCACAAGTTTGCTCTCATCCTGTAGGCATACTTTAAAAGTTAGCCCCTTGTAAGGGGCACTTTCTTTCCTCCAAACAACAATCTCTTCCATTAGCCAATCTGTGATTCTGTCCACCCCCACCTCACACATTCTTTACAAAAGCCCTTAGAAGACTTCTGGTCCTTAGTCTCCCATCTGCCACTTCATTTAGTCCTCACACTTCTTTTAGGTAGGAATAATCTCCCCCAGATAAAGGAACAGGGCAGTGGGGGGGACCAGAAGGAGAGGGGCTGGGGGTGAAGGGTAATAGAATAGGGTAGGGGGGAAAGTGCTTTACTCAGTCTCACATAACTTGCCTTATTCTAGGGCTTCTAGATGAACTGTTCTTCCCATGACATCAGAGCTCCCGCCTTCATGCCTATAAAGCAGCAAACAGAATGTCTATTTGGAAATGATCAGATTCATTTCATTTTGGCAATTATCTGGTTAATTTGATCAAGGCAGCTCTAAGTATCTTACCGGGACATTATGCATGCGCAGCTTTGTCTGCTCAGGTATCATTTACTTCTGTATCTATAGCGCCAGTGCTGCTCTGCCCAAGTGCTGCCTGGAAAGTCCTTAGTTGTCAAGCTGCCCCCACCACCACCCTCGGATAATAAGAATTCAACTTTTATTTGGAGCAAAAGTTCCCAGGGGTCACATGGCCCAATAACAGAAGATTATGATTTCTTATTGGTTTAATAGCATCTATTTTGTAAGTCTGAATGTACTCTGTTTTAATTGGATTTGTTAAAGGAACAAAAGGGAATAGGTGCCTTACAATTAAAATAAAATATTAAGATTATTAGTTTAACAGACTAGAAATGCCTTGTTCATCAGCCAATAGATTCAAACACACAAACCAACTCCACGACATGGGAAGGCAAAGAGCAGAAGTCAGTTCTGTCACCTTCACCCCACAAAGTGAGAAACATTAATTCAATTTCAACCCAAATGGCTTAGAAGTACAGCTATTGCCAAACAGACATTATTGCATTTCTTCCACGCAGTCACTATCTCCCTTGCAGTAAAGAAACTGGGGTCCAAGTCGGTTGCTTGGCAGGGGGAGTGTAGAGGGGCCTTAGCTTCCCATTTGCCATCTCAATGCCCTCAATGCCATCTCAATGCCCTCCTGAGCTTCCTTGAGCTTCAGTTCCCACTTCTGTAAGGAGGATAATAAAAGGGGCTGGTCTCCAAGGGTGAGGGGTGAGGGAGTGAAAGCTTTGGAAGGACAGTTGTGACTTTATGGGGGGTGGCAAGGATAGAACATCACTGATCAACAGTGAAGCCGGGACTCCAGGATTCCACTGGGGAGAAGCCCGAGTCGAGTCACATGGTCCAGCGTCCTTACTTCTTTAAGACACAAGTCCCCCAGAATCACTGAGTGGGGAGCAGATCACCTCAAGTGCCCTGTGGGGTGTGCATTCTGCACCAGAACCCCATCGGGTCTCAGTGAGACATGCTGAGGTGCGGGCACAGTAAAGACATCTCAAACTCAGTGTATTCAAAATTGAGCTTGCTGTCAGTCGGTCCACCAAGAGGCTTCTGCCCCTGGGGAGAGCAACAGCATCTCTCAGTTGTATTCATGCCCCACATGGTGGCTTTACTCTCAACACCCCTTTCCACTTACACCCATGGCCAATCCATCAGGAAATCCTGCTTGACTCTATAGTCAAAATACATCTAGAATCCCCCATTTCCCACCATCTGCTCTCATGCCTGGCTAGACTGAGTCACCCATATTTCTCATGGGAACATGTGCAGAAGCCTCCTACTTTGTTTTCCTGCTCTGGTCTTTGCAATCTGTTTTCCACAGAGCTGTCAGAAAACACAGCCTGTCCAACTACTTTGCCCCTTGACTCCAGCAACCCTTCAGCAACCCCTGATTCATCTAAGTCAAGGCCAGAGTCCTTTCTGTCTTCCCCATGGCCTCCCTGACCTCCCGAGGGACTCCTCACCATGCTCCCCCGTTCTCTCTCCCGCATCAGCCAACAGAGCCCACTTGTGCCTCTAATGTGCCTGGCAATCTCCTCCTAGGGCCTTTGCTCCAGCTCTCTCATTCCTCTAGAAAGTTGTTCTCTCAAATACCTGCTTGGCTGATCTCCTTACATTCTTAAAGATTTGGGGTAAATTTTACCTTCTCAATTCAGTCTTCTCTGATCCCCCAATTAATGATGCAAACTTACCCCCACCACAGAGCCACCCATAGATCCTCCTTAGTTGGCTGTTCTTTCTTCCATAGAGCCATGGCCTAAATATATTTTATGTGGGCTTTTGGGTATGCTTAGTCTTCATTCTGCCTCCCACTCCCTGAGTGTTTATCATGCTTATTTGGCATCATTACTGAAGCATTCAATACTGTCACCAGTAAGAGACCCTCTGCTGATGACTTTGGGTAAATAGATAAAACTTGCTAGGAAGGATGTGAACATGGCACTTTGTTTAGGACAAGCAGCTCTTGAGCATTCTCCAGAGAAGGCTAATGCCCATGACTTAGCCATCTTGCCTGTTCCTTACATGTTGTGTATATAAGGTCTTAAAAGAAATCAGGCATGTGAACGACAGGAAATAAAGGTGCTATGAAGCCATGGGACTGGGATCCATACCCACCTTCACTACAACCTGGTTTTAATCATGAGCTCAGTTTATGATCTGCAAAATGGGTTAGGATATTGCAGGTTGTTGTGAGGAGTGAAAGAGGTGATAACTGTATGTTACATGTCTAGTGTGTGGTGGGTACTCAGTAAGTAATTATCTGGCCCCTACAATCGGTGCCTTTGTGATGGTAAATAACACCGATAAATTCACCAAACAGCACTATTTGCGTTAGTTCCCTCAAAGTAGTTCTCTCAGGACTCCCCAGTGGTCATTAATTCCAGATACAAGACTAGCAGAACAATCTTTGTTATTTCCTGGGAACAAAAGTCTGAAATCTTCTAAGTACAAATAATTAATAATAACATCAATAATGAGAAAATGGAAATATAACAATAACTTGTTGCTATGAGTATACTTCTGACCACTTTTAAACTCTAGGGCTTGCTATAGCCCAAGTTACTCCTTTGCTCATTCAATACATTCATTTATTTGTTTAACAATCTTTATATATATATATATATATAGGGGTTTATATATATATTTATATATATATATATATATATATATATATATATATAAAGGGGTAACCGGTTGTGTGAAGAAGTAGCTCAAACACTAGTTTCCACCGGTTTGTGGAGCCACAAAAATGCTCCGGGAGCCTCAGAGAGCCACACACTTCCCTCCCCAAGCTTGCCCAGGTAGCTGCCCTTCCTGACTGGGGCTCAGTGCCAGCTTCCTCCTCTCTTAAATAATGAATTAGCTCGCGTCTGGAGTTTGTAAATAAAACACACCAGGAAAGCTGGCATTTCCAAAGTTGCTTACTCAAAGGAGGAGAGAAAAGAGCAGAGTTTAAAGTGGTTATTATTTGGCAAAGTTAAAGCAAATCAATAAATACAGGACCACCACCAGAGAAAACTTACCCTGTCAGTCCCAGTTCCTCCTTCTGAAGTGTGAAACTTTGTCACCAGGCAACAGGAGGCTTGGGACTTGGTGTTGATTAACGTAATCTTGAAACCAGCCAGTCAGGGGAAGGACACCCATGGCTGGAAGGGTCTCCAGGACACCCAAACTTACTAGCTGGCTCTGCTTGCTTCCCACATGGAGGGAGCCCAGCCTCCTGGGGTGCTCGCAGGAGCCCTCCTGCTGGTGATTCCCAGCAGTGCAGTGGGGGAGGGCCACAGAACAAGGCGAGAGCCTGCTGGCTTCCATGGCGACCACTGGAAGTAACATTGCTAACTTGGGATAAAAGCCACCTTTGCCTCTTTTAAGGAACAAATGTCTGATGCTTCCAAAGGAGTCCTATAAAATATCCATTTCCTTAGAATTTGTCCACATCTTTTTTTCCTGCTCTTTGGTTTTTGAAATGGCTGTCTTTTGTGTGTTTATTTGATTTTAATTACTTCCTGCAAGTTCCTTTTTGTGCCCTTTTTACAGGATGAAATCAGAGTGACTATAATGCTTATAAAAATCGGAAAATCCTATAATCCTATATTCTTTTTCAATTAACATTGTTATTAGATGCCTATATGTAGTTTCTAAATCCTCCAGTTTGAATAAATGTGTAATGCAGAATCTGGAGTATTTTGCTCTTCCTGTTGTTTCCAGTCTGGCACCATTATGAATAATGCTGCCATGAATATATTTGTACATGTTTAGTCTCTTTGTTCAGTTTTTTTTCTTGAAATTAAATTCCCATAAATGGAGAAAATTGGCAAAAACATTAACATCGGTATGCAAATAATAAAATAACATTGTAGAAAATTAGAAAATGCATATATAGAAATAAAAAATGAGTACTATAAATTATACCAACCAGCTGTA